ATTATCATTATATTATTATTATTATTATTTAATTTCTTTTATTATTTACTATCATTATTATTATTTTATTATTATTTTATTATTATTGTTATTATCATAATGATAGACATAATAAACCCTAATAATAAACCCTAATAATAAACCCTAAACATGAACCCTAAACATAAACCGTAATAATAAACCCTAATAATAAACCCTAATAATAAACCCTAGTAATAAACCCTAATAATAAACCCTAACAATAAACCCTAACAATAAACCCTAATCATAAACCCTAGCAATAAACCCTAACAATAAACCCTAATCATAAACCCTAGCAATAAACCCTAACAATAAATTCCAAGCCTAAACCCTAACCATAAACCCTAATCATAAACCCTAATGATAAACCCTAATCCTAAACCCTAATGATAAACCCTAATGATAAACCCTTACCGGCAGAAATAACTGCATCTGGGGGCAGGGCTGCCTCTCTGCTGCGCGAAAGACGAAGGCCTTGAAGAGTACGTGCTTTAATAAGTGTAACATGCAAACCGTAGACATCTCTGAGCTGTCTATGCAGCTCTGCTGCTGCTGCTTGATGCAGTATATGGGTCCTATACGCTGTGGGGAAGTCGCTAGCAAGTGCTGCTGCTGCTGCTGCTTCTGCTGCTGCTGCTGCTGCTTCGTACGCTCTACTTCCAGGTGTATATAAACCATCACACTCTTCATCCTTTGCTGCTGCTTCTCCTTCTGCTGCTGCTGCTGCTGCTGCACCTGTTTCTCCTCCTTCATCACCTCCCCCAACACCGCTCCTGCTGCTGCTGCTGCTGCTGCTGCTGCTGCTGCTGCTGCTGCTGCTTCTGGAGAGGTGCTGCCGCCTCCACGCTGCCATCTTCTCTGCGAGAGAGACCTCAAAGCGAGTTACTTTATTCAGCAGCACAACTCTACTTAGTCGTAGTGAAGGGGGCCCGAAATTCTCCTCTTCCTGCTGCTCCTGCTGCTGCTGCTGCTGCTGCTGCTGTTGATCCTGCTGCTGCTGCTGCTGCTGCTGCTGTTGCTGCTGATCCTGCTGCTGCTGCTGATGATGATCCTGCTGCTGATCCTGCTGCTGCTGCACATGAGGATCTGGCTGCTGCTGCTGGGAATTGCTGTGCATAAGCCGATGCCTCGTTTGTGTTGAGAGGCCCTCTAAAACTCTCCTGTGCAGAAGTAGCATTTGCTGCTGCTGTATCTGTTGAGTAAGCAACGGGCTTAGAAGGAGCTGGGGGCCCCCTAAAGGATTTGTAAGAGACGTAAGCAGCAGGGG